AGAAATTCTTAAAAAAAAAAAATTAAAAATAAATTAGAATTATTATCTAAGCTAAAAATAATACTTTTTAAAGTTAGTTTTTTTAGAAGAAAATTGTAAAATTTGATCTATTGAAAAGCCACGAAACCTGAGAATTTCATTTTGAGAGATTAGATAAACGAAATTTGGCTGTACTTTATATTCAACGCGACGTGCACTTTTATTGCCCGAAATTGCAACACGGAACGTTGATTATAATTTAGAAGCTTCGTGTATCCTATCTTTGTCATGATATAGTCGTCTAAAATTTGATCTCTTCGTTAATGGTTGCGGATTAAGTCTAGGTCAGGATTTACTGCGCAATTAACCAGAATTTACTGCATAATTATTAATATACATTACATGCAGAACGTCGCTTGAAGGGGAACAAATGTCTTTGCGCGTTTCGACGATGGAAATTTTGTCAGGGAACGAGTTGCAAACTTGCTGAATCTAGTCTATTCTAAATACAATTTACAAAATATCCTACGATAAATATAACCAATATATTCTTGAAAATTCAATGAAAAATTTCCATTCAACCTACCATTAAATATCATTAATTATAACTATCATTACATCTTGCGAAATCTCCACAAACATCACAAAATTCAAATCACCTTCGAACCAAGCCTAATAATCCACTGACGCAACATCCAGTATCAAAATCTACTAAACATTCCTATATTCGCCGCATTCAAAAATTCATCCGATTCACAAACGAACAAGAAACGAGGTAAAACCCTGGATCGCGTACACGTTCGAAAGCAAACCGGATCCAATCCACGGTCAAACGGCACGGTTTTCTCGGTGCCTGCCCGATCTCGATTAATCATACCGCGTCCAATTCCAGAACGACTGACGTCAAACGCGACTTGTCCACCTGGTTGGACGAGGAACGCCGATCGCATTGTTTTGATCGACCGCCGCCACGTAGCGGCAGTATCCGGCACACGACCCGATTCTACGTGCCGATCTATCCGGCTTTCCACGTCACCGTGCAACGCAGGAACACAGAGAGAGAGAATTTTAAAGGACGGAGCCTAAGAACGCGCGCAACGATGAATCAGGCCGGTTTCCGTTTCCCGGACAATCCAAACGATCCAACCGGCCGCCATTGTTCGCATCCGGGACGGAAATACGCGTGGATTTGCCGCGAGCGTGCAATTAATATCGGCGAAATTGAAGAGCACGGTGGCAAAGGCCATTCCGCACGATTGATCATTTTTTCAATCGAGGAAGAAGAAAGGTTTTCAAAAGGACGAGCAAGTTACGGCGGTAAAAAATACGCGTCGAGGGTGGAAAATTTGCAAGGATGGATATTCTTATTCCGTTTTTCCGATAGGTTTCCCTCAAAATTATATATAATTGTATATTTTTCTATCTTCTGATAAAGAGATTTTTTTTTCCAAGAAAGATATGCATTGCTTTTTTAAAGTTGCAATTATCATGATTCCAAGTTTGGTTTTAAAGATTATGAATATGATTATGCATCATACCTGTTCATGCAATCGTTCCTCCATCAAATCTACCGTAATTTTCAATTTGAATACCAATTGGCAAGCCGTACATACCTGGAACAAAAAGAAAAGAAACTTATTAATTACATTGATACATTTAAAATCATATTTATAGTATTAATAATATTATATGTAAATGAATAAATTGTTCTAAATTATCCTTGAATAACGGAAGAAATTCTTTAAAAAATAAGTAAGAAAGATAACGATA